GAAGAAATGCATTTTACCTTAATACACACATCTGTAACAGTATCCGAAATCGGAAGTCATCAGTTGCAAGTTTGTTGATAATAGAAATTAAAAATTATTGAGGAATTTTTCTTCAAATGTTTGGCGTGTTCTGTTCCTGAAAGATTTACTAATATTCTGGAGATTTTTTTCAAGTTCTTCGGCCTTTTTCTTAGGGAAATTTTGTTTTTTATTTGCTGCTAAAAATGGGGTCTGATTCAGTCAATGATTTTGATGGAACTAAATGAAAACGTGATAAATTAATGTCTGATATTTACAGGCTCCCGCTAGACGGCGTACTCGAGCGTTGCGATCGCGAATAGTGAATTTTTAATAGAATCGCGTGTTTTAAAATTAAATGAGTATGCGGGCTTCAAAAGCAAAAAAAATATATCCTTTGAAATTATTACATCCATTATTATCCATTATTACAAAAATATACTGTAGGTGTAAGATTTGGCATTAATTTTAAAAAAAATGGATATTGATAAAATTTAATGTTAGAATTAAAATGTAAATGAATTAAATTGGTAAAACTTACCGATTCTGATGCCATAATAAATAAAGATAAAAACGAACTCTTTAGGAAAACACAAATGAAACTTAAAGCCGTATTCTTTTAAATGAAGACCAGTGTTTGCAGGATCGAGTAAGTTGTAAAATGTTTGTCTTTGTAGTTGTAAAATGTTATCTACCTCACGCTTTTATTTTATGACCGTCGAACAAACGTTTGTGTTGATCCTCTTTCATCCGATACACTAACTTCACAATACTTGGCGTTCCCCAAAAGAGGCCAGTGAATCTTTTACTTAGCTAAGGCGGTTCGCAAATTCTTTCAGGTTTAAGAAAGGGTTTGTAAGCAGAAAACGGTTGAAAACCACTGGCTCATCGCATTGATGTATGCAGTGGGTTGTGATTTATACACATAAGGACGGTAAATAAAACGTTACCATTTACTTTATTTTGCGCAAGATTTGTTCGTTATTTTACTATAGCCTTCTGAAACACTGTAAGAAATTATAATTTACCCTGTATAATTGGGTTAGTTTAATTGGATATCTGTAAGCGTCTGAATGCGTGGGTAAATTGTGGGACTTGTTTATGCCACGATTCAACAGGCAATAAGGTTCGACCCCCACTCGTGACATCGCTTGCAGGTATCCAATTAAATTGGTTCAGAGGGATAATAAGCCAAGCCTAATAGCTGTGACGTTTACACGCCGTACACTGTCACGGAGTCTTCTCGAGTAGCAGTGCGTTCATATTCTTTCATTTTAAAATGATTGTTATGCATGCTGTATTTTCCTTCTAATTTGGGTGAAGTGCTATTCGATGGAGTATCAATAAAGACACAAGGAGTTATGCAATAATTTTTATAATAAAAGTTGCATATTTGGTTACATAATTTTGCATCGGTTGAAAGATACACGAAAGGTTTTTTTGTTATTGCACGATTCTCAAAACTCAGACATTCTTCTCGGAACACGAAGGAATATCTTCTTGCTCTTTTTCCTCTTCCTGACACAGAGGACGAGGAGGGAGACAATCCTACGTAGTAGGTCCATAATGGAGATGAGCGAGACTCCTATCCAGATACCCAGGTATCCACCGACGTTGCTGTAGAAATCGGACAGCTGAAAGACAATTAAACACACAGTTGTAATAGAGGCTATCTTTTTTACTTCAGATGTGGCAATTAAAAGAATAAGAAGAATATTTTTCTGATGGAATAAAAAATAATATACAGGGATCACATAAATAATTTTCATCATTTAAAATATTAATTGGTTATTATTTAAAATATCAATTGTTTAAAGACTAGTTATTGTTCAGTAGGTTGAATATACTGGTTTTTCAAATATTTGCAAGATAACATCAATGATGTTTTGCGACTTTATTCAATCATTTCATATTCTTTAATCATTTTTTGTTAGTTAGTTCAAATGAATTAGAGAGGCCGACTCGTCCGCCATTTCGGAGCAAAAACTATCACCAATGAGGAAGAGCTACAAGATTTGGCAACTTTACAGACGACGCCTAACCTCAACTAGGATAATACGTAAGGAAAACGGTGTTTTCGTACATCGATTTACTTGGTTTTTCCGAATTTTTTTTTAATACTTAAACAAATTCATTAAAATTCTTATTATTATTGTGATTTAAAATAAAAATATTATTCATTACTATATAGAAAGAGTTTATACCCATTTCTGTTTCTTTGATAATTATAAAATAAAAATGTAAACTATCAAATGGAGAAGAATCAGCAAATTTAAAATTGCTTTAGATTTAAACTCATCTACAATTGATCCTGATTTTGGATAACTTATACATTTCAGTAATTTTGGAGGATTTGGAATAGTATCCGTCTTTAATTTTATTGCCATCTTTCCTGTTTACTTTGAGTTGAGATTGTACAAAATGAACCAGCAAGAAAGTTTGAAATGCTGTTTTATATTTTCATATTTAAATTAAATCACCTTATAAGATTCAGAGTTAAAATTTTGTAAACATACTCCCTTTAACTTTTCTGCAACATAAACTAATTATTTCAGCAATTTATCACAAGAATTTTAAAGAAAAAAATAAACCCATTTATATATTCAAAAACGTAAGAACAGTTTTTCAAAATTAAATTTGATTGCAATCAGCGTTTTTATTATGAGACAGCAATTTTTAAAGAGCGTTTCTAATTAACTTATTCTTTTATCGCCACTTTTTTCTAAAATTACGGCAATGTGCAAAAGTTGAATTGAGATTTTCAGAGTTAAAATTTACATTTAAAAACTAAAAATGATTTTTGTCTTGGCTTCTATTTGGTTTTTTATTTTTAAAAAAAACTTATTTTGATCATTTATTTATGGCTCTGAAATTAAGAGGTTTTCTATTCTCTTAATTTCCTATGTATTATGATGCCTATGTATTAAGTCTTTCGTTTTTATGGGGTATTTTATTATAGCGCGTCATTATTAAAAGCGTTTCTGATAGACTATATTTCTTTTAACGTTTTATGATTACTTTTTTAAATGCTATTTTTTAGCATAGAAATTAGAGTTAATAGGTATTTTAAGAGGTAAAAGGTTATTTTTTTCCACTTCTTGCTTTTAAGCAGATTGTATAAATAAAATGCACCAGATATCTATAAAAATTTATTGGAAATGTAATGAAATGTTGAAAATTGTTTTGTTGTGAAAATAATTTTGTTACAAAAAAATTCCACCACTTAGATGACAAAAGTCATTTTTCTGCAGCTTAGCCTTCTACTCTAATTTGAATCCTGTTTAGTTTCAAAGAAGAATGCCATCCATCGAATTTATAGATAGCAACAACTGCGCTTTCAGATGGTTGTATGAATTTTATAAACATTTGATTGATAAGCTCTTCTTAAAGGTATTACCAAGTGATGGTTCCTATTTATGATATTTCTAAAATTCTACTTGCTTTTTAATACAGATTGTTGACAAATACCCATGCTAATTGCAAAGATAAGATCAATAATTTATAGGTCGAATAGTTATAAACTTCTTTAATTTTACTAGAATTTTGCACGAGCACACAAAGCTCATATCTTAGAGAAAATTACACAAACCTTCATTTTAGGTTCATAGGAGATACTGGTCAGTCGAAATTTCTTGAAAGATATTGTCAGTTTTATGTTACCGAACCTGAAAAAAATGAAGAGGGAATTATTACTTGGAAACACAACCGGATATTCAATTTGGAAAATACCTGAGAATATATATATACATCGAAGAGTCATTACATTATGACCGCCCTGCTAATAACATGTGGGACCACCTTTAGCCCTCAAAACTGCTAGCACCCGCATTGATGCCACAAGGTGCTGATAGGTATCTGGTACCAAGGGCTCACCAACTGGCTCTGAAATTCCCTCACATTGCGAGGGGGTAGCATGGCAGCACGAATTTGGTTTTCCAAGTAGGACTACAAATGCTCTATTGGATTAAGGTCAGGTGAATTTAGAGGCCAAGACGTGACTTGAAAGTCGCTGGAATGTTCCTCGAACCAATCCATGACGATTCGACCCTTATGACATGGTGCATTATCCTGTTGGTAAACACCATCCCCCGCAGGAAAAACTGTTGCCATGAATGGGTGAACCTGGTCTGCAACTATGTTCAAGTAGCTTACAGACGTCAGGGATTGTTCTATGAGGATTATGGGTCCTAATGTGCCCCATGAAAACATTGCCCACACCATACTACTGGAGGGTGGTCATAATGTAATGGCGCTTCGGTGTATATATTAACCAGGTAGTAAAACGATAATATTTAACCTCAGAAAGAAGCAATATAATACATCCGTGCTAGAAAACGATAGAGTACAGAATCCTTTTTTCTAGTATTGTTACTAATAATGAGATTAAATAGTATTGGATCGAACTTAAAAAAATTATATATTTCCTTACTTTTAGTAAAGTGCTACTTTTTTGTGAAAGGGTACTCTTTTATTATTACAAAAAGTGGCGCTTTAACAATAATTTTATTTTAATCTTTAATAAATAAAACTACAGTTTTATTTTGTGGAAATAAATAATTATATAAAGTTATATTTTAAGACGGTAACAAATTTTCCTTTTTTAAAGTTAAAATTTCAACAAAATATAAATGAAATATAACTTTTAAACAATATAGTGTGGTTTTTATTATACAACTTCATAATGTATGATAAGTGTGAAATTACAAATGACTAGAGAGTATAAAATATGTTTCATAAACTAATTCCAATTCAATTGAAATTTTGATAAAACTGGCTCATTTCTGAAAAAAATTGGGAATACATTTACATTAAAAAATAAACACTTGAAAATGATTAATGATATAAAATTTATCAGAAAACTCTTTGTCTAGAGAAAAAGAAATGATCAAAAGTTAGATTCTCAAGTTTAATTTCTATGTTAAATCTGAAATTTTCATTCATAGAAAGCAGCTGGACACGAAATACAATTTGGAGTTAAAGAGGGAGAAAAATGGATGGTAGCAGAATTAATTTAATTTTATTTAGTATTTCTGCATTGTTAACAAAGTAAATTATGCGTGGAATAACAGTATTAAACTGTTGTTCTATGTTTTACTACTTCAGAACAGTAAAGAAAATAAAGTAAAATAAAGTATCACCAAATTTTTTTGCTTTCGTCCAAATCTTCCACTTGCTTATTCCAAAAACAAAAAACGACACAAAATAATATCAGAAAATATAAAATCTAATGTTATATAATTCAGAGAAAACAGCTACCTCATGTATAGAGAAGAAGAAAAAATAAAAATTAGTAAAAATTTACAGTGAAAATATAATCTCATCATTAACTCTTACTATTATATCCGCAAAAATACTTGGTTGGTTGGTTCTAATGCCACTTGCCACACTCACAAGCCTTCTTGGTGAAACCGAGCAAATTTAAGGCAAAGAGTGCGATTCTTGTTTTTCAGTGGTGCCATCTATGGGCCAAGAATTTGACTTCGCCACACCATGCGTCACACCTGTTTATAAGGCGGACTCATTCATACATCCATTCATTCATCCATAGATCGTAATTTTGACCTGAATCAGAGAACGATCGATCTCCAATCTAGGCAAAAATAGTGATTTCTATTATTGCATTAATGTAGCCAATACAATAGTTTGAGGTGCACCGAAAAAGCAAATTTTTCTTTTTTTAAATTTTCAAATATCAGTATGTTTTTTAATCTTTAATTAAATGGGTCATTCTCACAAAAACAGTCATTTTCATGTCCCCAGTATATTTTATGTTTGTTTTACAACTTACGAAAAAAAATTTTCAGGGAAAGTGTCCTTCAGAATGCAAGCTAACAAAAGAATAAAAATAAAATTATCAATTTTTATTTTTTATTTATTTTAGGTAATTAAAATATACCAATATGTCATTCCCTCACTTGTCCCCACTGCTGATTTAAAAAAAGAAAAAAATTGTTTCTGAAATAAAATTTTTTTTTTTACAAATTCGTGTTTTTTATTTCAGAATACTGAAATATAGAATTCAGAAAATCAATTTTAAATTTAATTTCTGATAAAAATATTAACACAGCACTATTTTAAACTTTGTCCCCAGTGTTTCGCGTCATTCCCTCACAACAATGTTCTTATCACCTGCAATCTTCTTAGAATAAAAATATTTTAATAAAAACTTCAGAAGTTAACAACTGGCATCATAGAACAAAATTGCAGTATGTTTCCATCTTCAACTTAAAGAAGCTTTGCTGTGGAATAAATTTGAATGAATCAAACCAGGTAAAATTTTTTACATTTGTCATTCCCTCATGTCATTTTTTAGAGTAAAATAAAATACAACTTCATCGAGAAAGTGGATAATTATATGTTGCTTTCTTGTATGAATATAATTGTATGTGATTGACTTCAGAAATTAATTAGGCCTAACTGTTATTTTTAAATTTTATTGAATTCGTCATTCCCTCACTAGTGTATAAAGTGAGGGAATGACGCTGAAGTGAGGGAATGATTCAAGATGAGTATATTATTAAATTTTTTTTTGTTCAATCGTGCCAGCCAATTTTATTTCCCAAACCTGTAAAAACTATTAAATATATAAGACTAAATTATAATAAATATTAGATATACTTAGTATGTTATCATTTTCAAACTTTAGGTAGATGTAACTTAGATAAAAACATGTATTAAAATAAAATATCATTCCCTCACTATTAGTGTCATTCCCTCACTTTTTAAATAGTGAAAATAATTAATTTACTTATTAATTAATTTGAAAAATAAATTAAAAAATTAATAAATTAATTTATTAAATTAATTAATTTATTTATTAAATTAATTAATTAATTATTAATTATTATAAATTAATTAATTATAAATTAATTATTTAAAAAATTAATTAATTTAAATATTAAGTATAATTTATAGGATATATACTTTCTTTATAATGCCATTACATATTTCTATTAATATAAAAAGTTTCAGAGCTTTTTATTCACTTTACTTTTTTGGGATTTTATGAACTGAAAAATGACAGTTTTCGTGAGAATGACCCAAATAGATGGAATACTACAAGCATCTAATTTTCTTTACTTCTCGCTAACTTATTTTTATACCATAATGAAAACAATTATGCTCTTAATATTAAATTTGTTTTTAAATTTATTAATGATTTAGTTATCTTTAATTTTTTTAAATAACATAGCCGAGTTATTAATCACACTTTGTAATTATGACGATAATATTAAATTTAATTTTTTGGATTTAAATATTAAAACAAAATATCTGAATTGTTGACTAATACAAAACTGATACAACAAAAAATATGATTTTGAATTTAATATAAACTAATTACATGGAATTCTAATGCTAAGTTAATTACATGGAATTCTAATGTTATTCTAGTGTTATTTAAAAACTATTTTTAATCTAGTAAATAGCATTAAAAGAATTTGAAGTATTATTTATTTATTCAAAAAATTAAGCACTTATTTGGAAATTCTTGGCCATAGATGGCGCCACTGGAAAACAAGAATAATCACATCCCTCTGCCTTAACAGGCATACGCCAACACAAACAAATATTTCAATAAAAACAACGGATATCTAACAAATGTAATTGAATTCTATTCAAAAACATTTAGTTAACTGTGTATTAAAATAATAAAAGAATATATTCACACAAAAACCTTTTAACTATGTCGATTGATATTTTTGCTGTGCGCGAAACAAATGTGGGCAAATCCGTGATGATCAGTGGGCAAATCCATTGTTTGAAAAACAGATCATTATGAGAAATCTCTGCAGGTGTTGGATTGAATAATCAGAAAGAATTTGTTTTAAGCGAAGTAATGCTTTCAAAAAAGTAAATTTTAAAATCTAATTAATTCTAAAATTTTTTTATAAAAGTTTTTTAAGCGAAATAACTGGAACACCAGCTACAGGAAGCCTCTTTGAAAAAAAAACCCTGTTTTGAGAGAATAAAATTTTTTCTGTCCCTAGTCATTTTACCCCCTGGCCTCAACTACCATCCATTTACAAATTTGTTTAAATATTACTTTCTGAAACAAATTAAGAAAATGAAAGCAATTACTTTAGGAAAGTTTATAAGCGCCGTTTTATAAGAATAAGAAAATGTTTAATAACTTACGTCAGCCAATTATATTTCAAACGAGTAGATAGCCTTGACATATTCACATTGGCCTGGAAAAAAAATGGAAAAAACATAACTTTTAAAACTGAAGCTAAAATTTAAACTTATTTAACAATAACGTCCTCAAACACTCATTTTTATATCATGCTTATCCGAGAATTTTTTTGCAGTAATGGTCAGCATTGCAGTTGTTAGCTTTTACATTCTTTTATTTCCACAGACATACACAGACGAACGATAAACAAAAGCAATAATAACAAGAAAAAGTAGTTTGGTTGCCTAGCAACCAGCTAGAGTCGCAGTTATTATATTGCAGACGATTTAAAACAATTATTCAAACTAACTGTTTATTTGATGTCGGAACATCCTCCCCACCCTGGTCAACCTCAAGAGTGATGACCAATTGTATAGGTCGAGTTATAGCCTTTCCATCTACTCTTAAGATGCATGCTCGAATTTCCCCATCTCGTCCCTTAATTACATTGGTAATTCGGGCTTTCTTCCACATGTGTCTGGGTCTGACATCTTCTTGTAGTAGCACAAGATCTCCTGCATGTATGTTGAAGGATTTATGAATATTACGAACTTGGTGATAAGAGCGAAGTTGCAGCAGATATTCTTTGGAACATCTTTTCCAAAATACATCCAACACATCTTGTTGTTGTTTGTAGAGTTTCGTAAGTCTTGGATTGTTATTCAGATTTGTGGGTATCTATGTTAACTTTCTACCCGTTAGGAAATATGCCGGTGTTAAAGCTTCTGTATTGTTTTCATCTCCCTCTTCATATACAATGGGTCTGCTGTTAAGGGCGGCTTCTATCCCTACTAGTACAGTTGATAGATTTTCTTTATCCAATAGTGCCCGACCAAGAGATTTACGAAGACAATTTCTCGCTAATCCGATTAGGCGCTCACACCAACCTCCCCACCAAGCCGCTCTGGGTACGATGAACTTCCAAATTATGCCATTATAAGCTTAAAACTGTTGTACTTTAGTAGATGTAAGAGTGTTCCATAGAAGTATTAGCTCCTTATTTGCAGCATGGTACGTGGCAGCATTGTCACTATAGATGGTATGTGGTAGTTCTCTACGACCCACAAATATCTGCAATGTTAACAGAAACTTGTTTGTCGAAAGATCTGACACAAGTTCGAGATGTATGGCTCTGGTTGTTGCACAGGTAAACAGTACAATGTAAGCTGTATCTGAAGAATTCAAAGTGCGAACATGTACAGTGCCGGCAAAATCTACTCCTGTGGTGAAAAATGGTGTAACTGGATTAATTCTATCAGCTGGTAGAGGAGCTCCAATTTGAGTGCAGCGACATCTTTCATGGTAAGCTCGTGACATCTTGCATGATCGTGACATCTTGCATGGTAAGCATTTGTAAATCACATGTTTGATGGCTTGACGTCCTCGTAGAATCCAAAAATTTGAATGCAGTTCTGAAAGCACTATTCTGACACCTAGGTGATGCATTTTGATATGTGTTTGTCGTATCAGCAGACTTGTGAAATGATGAGATTGACTCGGTCTTGATGACCAGCAAAATTGGATGTTTTGGGGACTCTGATAAACTCGAAAACTGTAATCTACCATCAATACGTATAAATTTATTTTCTAATAGTGGGTTGAATTTTGTAATCTTTGAATTTTTTAGCAATGACTTGGATGTTGACAAAGCTTCGGATTCTAGCGGAAATAACTCTTTCCGAACCATTTGTATCCAGTAATTTCTAGCATCATATATTTTTGCAGTGTCAAGTACTCCGACTTTCTTGCCTTGAGATCTACAGTTCGAGATAAAGTGTAGAATCCATGCAGTTACACGTAGCAGTCTGAATTAGGAGCTGTAGTCTTTTCCGTTGATGATGGGTTTAAAAGTAGTAACATGAAATGTTTGAATTATTAATTTAATGTTCTTTATTTTTCTTTCCCTCCAAATTATGAGAGTAATCTTTTTTAGAATCTGGCCAGCTTTCTGTGGGTTCAGTCAGCTAAGTGGGTCCGTTCCACCAGATGTTGAGATCTTTCAGTGTAGATGGTTGTACGCCACTTGAAAAATTGTCCGCTGGATTGTCTTGTCCCGGGCAATGCCTCCACTGTGAAGGGTCAGTGTATGAAATGATTTCTGTTACCCTGTTGCACACAAATGTTTTCCATCTGTTAGGATTACCCCGAATCCAACCAAGGGTGACTTCAGAGTTCAATTCAGTTTCATTGCAAAAATATTTTAGCAATCTGGCACCAATCACAGGTGCTAATAACTCTAAGCGTGGAAGACTAACTCTCTTTATTGGTGTAAGTCTATTGCGACTGCATACTAAATGGATACTTGATTGATTATTATGAGAAGTAACTACGTACAAAACAGCGCCATAAGCTCGCTCAGATGCATCGCAGAACATATGAATATTAAAGGAATCAAGCGATGAAATTCCTATGTAACGAGGAATTTCTTTAGAGCAGATGGCATCGAGCTGGGTTGTAACTGTATGCCACATAGTAGCCAAGTTTGTCGGCAAGATTTCATCCCAATTGATTCCAAGAATCCAAGTATCTTGAAGGAGTATCTTTCCAATTATCGTAAATGGTGTAAACAGCCCTAAGGGATCGTACAAACTTGCAACACAGCGGAGTAACCACCTCTTAGTAAGTGGCTTATCTAGAGAAGCACAGAGTGAAGTCTTGAAAGCGTTGCTCAAGGTATTAGTCTTCGTGTTCTATCCAATGCCTAAAACTGTAGTTTTAGTCTTGAAATTTTCTTTGTTAGTTTCTAGCAAGTGTTGAAGCTTCATAGAGTTAGTAGCCCATTTTTCCATCGATAGTTTTATGAGTGACATCAAACCTTTGATTTCCTTTTGTAATACCATTATTTGTGATTCAGGTTCTAGACTAACCACAAAATCATCCATATATAGGTGTTTATCTAAGAGTACTGCAGAAGTAGGGAAGTTATTTATATGATTAGCGGCCAGTTATCGTGTGGTGGCACACAACAGAAAAGGGCTGCAAGGTAGTCCGAATGGTAAGCGAGTGAATCTGTATGTAGTTACTTCATCCGTAAATGTAGCTGTTTTTAAAGAGCCTTTCGTTTGTTTGTACCAGAAGAATCTCGCTGCATCTCTGTCCTTTGGATGCAAAACCAACAGTAGGAAAGCCTGTTTACCATCACAGGTTAGGGCAAATTTATGCAGTCGAAATCGTAGAAGACAACCAACAGTCTCAGGTAGTAGATTGGGATCAACTTCTAAAGAGTCGTTTAATGCCTGGACATGCCTGGAGCATGTGATGAGGCGTCAAAGACGATTCTCCACTTTATATCATCTTGCTGCTTCTTTTTCACTGCATGATGTGGCAGATAGTACACGGTGTTTTCTGTTTCATCTGCAGATGGACAAACTTCATGTCCTTGTTCAATGTAATTCAACATGCATTTTTCGTACCGGGTCTTCAAAGATTCATTTGATGTCAGTCTTTTTATAGCGATTGAAATCTGTTCTCAGCAGTAGTTTTCTTTGTTGGTAATGTTGAGTCCATAGCTTTCCAAAGTAATGATACGACCCTACGATTATCAACTAATTTAAATGAGTCACGAAAGTTCTTCAAAACAGTCGAATCATGTTTAGACATTTCTCTATCCTGGGAAGTGGTAATTCCAATTGTTTCCAAGTCCCAGAAGCAACGTACACTTTCATTGATAGGTTCTTGTTGAATTAATGTGTTGAGGTAATTTACAGTAGCTAAATTGTAAACTGTTGTGCATGATCGAGGTCCGCTCAGAATCCACCCAAAATGTGACGGAACCAATACAAGGGATTCTGACAGCACAACCGGAGCTTCAGGGTTCAATACTTGCCAGTAGAAATCAGCACCAATCAAAACTTGCATAGGCAGATTTTGTAAGTTATCGTAAGGATCAGCCAGTTTCTTTCTTTTCTGGAATGCGAACCACGAAACATCAGTTGGAACAGATGAATGTGAAGCGCATTCATTGGAACTTTCAAATGCTTCAATATTAACTGAAGACTGATTCCAAATGCTCAATAGTTTAAACTACTTTTCGTCTCATATGGGAAACATTCGCTGTAGATTCAAATCCATGCACTTCCAATGATTTTGTAGAAATAACTTCTAATTTCAAACTATCAACAAGATCATTATGAATGAAACTTGACTGGCTACCTCCATCCAGAAGACAACGGGTCAGTCTTGTAGTACCAGTCAGGCCTGTTATAAAACTCTTGCAGTTTGCAAATGCACATCGTTGCGCGTAGCAATATCGATCTTATGAGTAGACGTTGTACCTGGGTGATCAACACTGTTCTTACAAATTGAAACATGGTGCTTTTTCCAGCAATTCACACAACAAGCCTTTTCCTCACGAGCACAGCTCTGTTTTGTGTGTCCTCGTCCAGTGCACAAAAAAAAATCTATTCGTAGCTTTTAATTTCTGTATTCGTGTGTCTATATCTGTCACAGAGTTGCACTGTTGAGGCCAATGTCCGGCAGTTTCTCAAAAGGGACAGAATGGTGAAGGTTTCTTACTTTTAGTAATTGACTTGGAATTTACATTGAAGTTTTCTAATGTGGATTTTAAGGAGTAATCAGAAGACATAAGACCTTTAATCTTGCTTGTTGTAAGGGTTCTTTCTACTTCTTCGGCGAGAAAATTTTAGTTGTGTAATATCACATTCTGAAATTTTTTGGCGTTTCGCATGAGTAACCCATCGGCAACAAATATCGTCAGGGAATGCACGTAAAATTTTAGGAGATAAAACTCTACCGTATGCGTCAATATCTTCTCCCGAAGCACGCAGAGCCTGTAGCCTTCCGTTGCATTCAATATAAACTTCATTCAGTGATGTTGGCGAAGGATTGCGAATTGGCGTTAATTCTCCAAAAAATCCAAATGAGATTGAATAATTCTATTTTTGTCACCATATTTGTCCATAAGTAGCTTCTTTGTGGCTTCATATGTATTTGCAATAATACTTATACCATCAACCAATCTTTTTGGTCCATCTTCTAAATATCCTCTGAGAAAAACATGTTTATAATTGATGATAGATTTGGATTATCGTCTAAAGACGTTTTAAATTGTTCCCAAAGACATTGCCAATGTTCCCCGTCGCCACGAAATGGTTCTAATTTTATCGTCGGTAGTTTACATTTTGTTGTGGTGACATAGAATTCACATTTTGAATCGG